CTGAGCAGAAAGTTTTGCTACTAGCAGCCTGCACCTGGAGCAAGCATGTGGACAAAGCAGGTAAGTCACTGGCTCGTGTCCATGGCACCCTAACTGATCCCTCACCTCTGAAGGCCTGTGAGTGGGCAAACCTGGAGGTGACTGAGCCGTGCCCAGAGTCAGCTTCCACTGTGTCATCTCCGGATCCTCAGGATATTGCTGTTGTTTTTTATTTTTTTTTTTTTTAACTTAGTTTTACTAGAAAGACGTGTGAGGGAGAGAAGCAGAAAGAGAGACCCGCTGGTTCAGTTCCCAGCTGCCTGCCACAGCTGGGGCTGGGCCAGGCCAAAGTCAGGGTACCCAAGAACTCAGCTGATCACCTTTCACCACTCAGGGATTGCATCAGCAGGAAGCGAGTTTCAGAAGTGAAGCCATGACTTGACCTCAGACATCCCAGGAGAGTATGTGAGTACCCCAAGTGGGTTCTTACCCATTGCGCCAGAAGCCCACTCCTTCAGAATGCATTGATTAATAAGAGTGTGTCCCTGATGGCCTTGCTCCGTATTGGATGGTCTTAACAATGCACTTTAGGGTTGATGCTAGTCATGCAGCAGAGCACTGGAACAATGGTGTAGCTTGGAGTGGAGGTTTTGGACCATGCGATATCAGTTGACCTGGAGACTCAAATCAATCATATGAGTAGGTCAACCAACCAATCAATGCCTACATGAGGGGAACCCTAGGAACACCTCTGCGCACTGAGGCTTGCATATGCCTCTCTTGTGGGCAAGGCCAGATGCATGTGGTCACACATCAGCACTGAGGCGTGACCCTTCCGACCACACAAGGAGAAGGCAGAAGCTTCACATTCAGAACCCTCTGCCCTCTGCCCTTCTTCCCTTACCTCATTTTAATTTTTACTTTTGTTTTTTTGAGAGATAGAAAGAGTCCCCATGTGCTGGTTCACATCCCAATTCACGCACTTGGGCCAGGACTGGAGTCAGTGGCCAGGAACTCAGTCCAGGTCTCCCAGACACAGGATACAAACCCAGTGACTCACCATCGCTGATGCCTCCAAGAGTTTGCATCGGTGGGAAGCCGGAGTCAGGGGCCAGAGCCAGGAATCAGAGACACACCGACAGGGATCCGGTGTCTTCACCTCTAAGCCACTCACCTCCTCTAACCTGTGTTATTTCCTTGTAATGCTCATTGTTCAGCGGTTATTACCAAGCTCCACGTCCTTCCCGTGCCTTCTCAAATCTGGGGCTTGCGGTTGGAACCATAGTGCGGGAAATGCTTTCAACTCTGCAGCTGGTTCTAAACTCCCTGAAAACCACCCAGCTGAGCACAGCCAACACTCACAAGTTACAGACTTCATAAATAATACTATCAAGGCTGTTGATGTTTGTAAGTTCTGGAGTGATTAGCCATATGACCAAGGGCAATAGAAACGCCAAGCCTCCCATAATTCTCATCAAGTCAGATTGTAAATCACACGAAGAAACAGGCAATAAAGCAGCATATGGGTAATTTCTCTGTCACTCCACCTTTCAAATTAATAAATGAATCAAATCTTCTTCCTAAAAAAAAAAGCACCAGTAGCTTCTTGCAGGTAGGTTCTCATTCTTGCAGCACCTCAGTGTCTTCCCCCTTCTGTGGAACCATTTCCTTATACTAGCTTATCCTTGCGTAGTCACTGCTGTGATTTCTGCCTTCCTGAGTGGACCCTGATTGGTAGAGGGCATGGGACAGAAGAGTGGTCCAAGGAAACAGAGACGGGATCCTGAGCCTGAGCTGGCCACGTGCTCATATTTGATGGCAATGCCATGGGAGTCTGGACCACGGCAGGTCAGAGCTGCCTGCTGGCTCCCACGTGCTTGGGCCTGCCAATCTCACGTGTCTGTTTTTAACTCAGCAATGGCCCTCAACCCTCTCAGCTCAACTTCAGTCACAGCAGCAGTGCTTAGAGCACAGAGACCTGCAAGAAGTATAAATCAGGGTCTTGACCTCACCCTGACCCTCCAAAGCAAACTTTCCTGACAGTACTGGTTAGAAGGACCCCCCACCACCACCATTTCTGCAGATCACACGGTCACTTGCATTTCAAGTGCCCTCTTGGACAAGGGGTGGATGGCTGCTTCTCACCTCACTGGAGCTCTTACGGGGAGCAGAGGACACGTTCTGCCCTTTTAAACTTAGCGCCAATGAAGGTCTAGGAAGCAGGGAGACACTGTGTAGGGTTTTTTTTTTTTAACATCTTGTTGAGAAATCCCACTCAAGACTTAACTGGGTGGGCTGCAGGATTGTGATCAAACGGCAGTGGGTTCACTTGGCTACCTTGCGTGGCTGAGAGGACCCGGAGCACAGCAGGAGAGAGACTCGGGTATCTCATCCTTATTTCTTTTGTTTTACAACCCACCCTGAGGGATACATTTTACTTGTGATTCACAGCATAGGTAAGTGTAGAAGCATGTTAATAAACACAACTGAAACAAAAGTTTTTTCTGCTTTTTAAAATTTTTTTTTAAAAGATTTATTTTTATTATTATTTTTTTTTATTGGAAAGGCGGATATACAGAGAGGAGAGACAGAGAGGAAGATCTTCCGTCCGATGATTGGGCCATCCTCGACTGCTTTCCTGGGCCACAGGCAGGGAGCTGGAAGGGAAGCGGGGCTGCCAGGATAGAACCGGCGCCCATATGGGATCCCGGGTGTGCAAGGCGAGGACCTTAACCACTTGCGCCACCGTGCCGGGCCCTTTCTGCTTTTTTTAAAAAAAGATTTATTTTCACTTTAGAGAGAGAGAGAGAGACACTTCCATCTTCTGGTTCACTCCCCAAATGGCTGCAACAGCCAGAGCTGAGCCAGCCTGAAGTTGGGAGCCAAGAGCTTGTTCCAGGTCTCCCCTCCCAAGAATTTGAGCCATCCTCCACTGCTTTCCCAGGCCATTAGCAGGGAGTTGGGTTGGAAACGGTGTAGCCAGGACTTGAACCAGTGTCTACATGGGATGCTGACCCTAAGGTTAGAGGATTAGGCCACTAAATCACTGTGCTGGCCCTTGAAACCAAAGTTTTATGAAATATAATGTACTCTGACTTTTCTATTTTTTCTCTCAAGGCTGGTAACAACCTACTAAATTGGTTTCATGAACCACTGTTGGAAAACCACCTACATGGTTTGAGAAATGCAAGTTAAATAAGCCACAAATTAAAACTCCTTACAGAATAAGAAAACAGGGTTGCAGCAATGTTTAAAACCATTATGTTCACATATGTTACAAACTGGATAAACACAAATCAATCCCACAAGGAGAGCTGCTGTGTGAGTCCACGTCTCTGAGTTACTTACGGAGTCGAACTCACAGAGCCCAAGAACAGAATGGCTGGAGGAGGAGAAGGTCCCACGGCAGTGAATGCACACCTGCAAATCTCAGGTGCAAAGCTTTATGTTACCACAATTTAAAATGGTAAAGTTAAATTTTAAAAAGACATTGAGAATTCTTGAGGATGATGAAAAGCAACCATTAACAGATTCGGAAAGTCCAAAGAACTCCAGGCAGGATGAATAAAAAGGCATGCAACCTTGAGAACAGCAGGACCAAGGGAAAGAGGTCACCTTGGGCAGCAAGATTATCAACTGACTCTGCAGTCTAACAATGGCGGCTGTGAAACAGTGGGTGGCTTCCTGACCCAGGAGAACTGCAAACCCAGCGAGCAACCCACAGTGTCTTCCAAAGACCACGGAACTACACCACAAAGGATGTCCTGTGGGTACGTTAGTGGGATCCCGGCTGTGGAAATGGAGATGGAGGAAGGACGGGGAGCCCAGAGCCCAGAGCCAGGACAGCTAAGTCTAGAAACAACTGGGCAGTATGGGCAATCAAGGACAACGCAATGGTGTCTCACAGGAGAACATGGAAAAGATTGGAAACAAAAACAGTATGCTGGAAATAAATCCAGATACATCATTCAACACAGTAAGTGTAAATGAACTGAAAGTCGCAGTAACACGCAAAGACCATTTGTTTAAAAAACACCTTTTTATTAGGAAACATTAAGTACACAGAACAATGGGAACAAGAGTATGAAAAACATCCATGCAACTGGCAAGCACAGCCAGCGGCTGCTGATCACCACTTGGCTTATCTCAGTTTATAATTATGAGAGTGTCACAAGGTGGCTGGCAAGCTGTGGGCCAGGTGTGACGTCCAGTGTCCACTGCCGGGTCAGGCACGCAGGCGCGAGGGTCGGTGTCCACTGCCGGGTCAGGCGCGAGGGTCGGTGTCCACTGCCGGGTCAGGCGCGAGGGTCGGTGTCCACTGCCGGGGCAGCAGGCGCTTTCGGGCCCCCAGCAGAGGTTCCATCACACAGCTTGCGTGGTTCTCTCTCGGAGGGCTCTCTCTGTGGGTTCCAGGTAGATGCTGAGGACTGGCTCGCCTTCTGAGACGACTACATTTCTCTAAGTAAAGAGGTAGAGTTTACAAGGACCAGTTTCGGTCCAGCCGCCATTCCTGAACGCACCCCACGGAGTAACTGGCAGTTTCTCAGGCTCCCAGTGAGTGTGGAGGACTCGCTACCACGGGGCTCCTCAGAATACCCAGCACCTCTCATCAGTTAGAGCCTGGCACTGCCAACGTGGACGCTGAGACGACTCCTCACCCTTATGACCCCGGCGAGCACCCTGGTCCCGTCAGGAAGCCCAAGCCCCGCCCCCGCCGCGCGGAAGCCCCGCCCCGCGCCCGGCCCGCGCGCCTGCGCACTGGAACCCGAGGGCCTCGGCGCGCAGCCTGTTTCCCCGCCCCCGGAGCCGGCGCAGGGCGCAGCTTCCCGCGGCCGGAGCCAGCCAGCCTGCCGGCTGCGTGCGTGCGTGCGTGCGTCGCGGCGTGCGTGCGTGCGTGCGTGCCGGGAGCTCGCCGGGCACCGCGGCCTCGCCCTCGCCCTCCACCCCGGCGCTAGCCCCGCGCAGGCCGCTCCCCGCCCCCAGCCCGGCCCGGCGCCCCCGCCCCCGGCCCGCCTCGCCCGCCTCGCCCGCCTCGCCCCGCCTCGCCCCGCCTGTGCCCTCCGCAGGGGGGGCGCGGCCTGGGCGCTCGCGGCGCCCGGTGACCTGTCCTCCGGGGGCCGCTGGCCAAGGGTGCCCGCCGACGAACATGGCGAAGGTAGAGCAGGTCTTGAGCCTCGAGCCTCAGCACGAGCTCAAATTCCGAGGTAAGCCCCGGAGGCCACCGTCTGGCGGGCTCCGTGGCCCGAGTGGGGGACGGCAGGTGGAGGCGGCCCTGGCTGCGCCCCAGGACTGTCCGGAGGCGCCTGGACAGCGAGCGGCCCCCGTGCGGGCGTCCAGCGCCCACCCCTGCCAGCCTCGCCTTCGAGGCGCTCCTCGTGGGGGCCTATTGCCACAGGCCGAGGCTGGGGTCCTCGCCGTGGCCTGGAAGGGGCTTGCCTGCGCCCCAGCAGCTTGATGCCCATGCCACGGTGGACACCTGTCGGCCTTCTTCCACACCTGGCACCGTCGGAAGGGAAGCGCCCTGCGGACAGCGGCTTGTTCGCCGGTGGTTTAGTGCCCAGCGCGTCCTGGGCGCTGGGTCCGCACCTGCGGACCCAGCACTGGCCAGGGGCAGACAGTGTGAAATGACCCCCAAGTAGAAGCCTTGCCAGGGCTTTCTGGTCACAGTGGGGGGGAAAGCCACCAGAGAGCCCCGGGGGGGCCGCCGTGGCCTTTCTTGGTGGCAGTGTGGCGGCCCTTGGCCTGGGGTGCCTCCTGTGGTGTTTCTGCGTGGACGGTGGAGCCGTGCCGGGCTCTGCAGGATGCTTGTTAGGGTTCGGCAGAAAGTGGGAGGCTGTGAGCTGCAGCTCCCAGTCAGCCAGAAATAGGCAGGAGCAAAGTGACCAGTGTGGCCCGATGTGGAGTTGACAGAGCTTTCTGGATGGTGGGTGTTTGTTGTGTGTGTGAGAGAAAGAGAGAGAGAGAGAGAGCGGGCGTGCACCCAGCGCTGGATCGTAAGCTCTGTGAAAGGTGGTTTTGCCCGAGCGTATTACACATGGAGTATGCTGAGCATGCTCAAGCCAGGCCGGGGAGGGGATGTGGGTCCCCTGTGTGCCACGGGGCTTTCTGGAAGTGTGGGATGTGCCTGGGGCTGTTAGGAGGAGGCCAGGTGACCGAAGGGACCGTGTTGAGCGCTGGTTTTCACTGGACTTGTCCCAGTTCTCTGTCCAGGATCTCTAGCGTCGCTACTCCTGTGAGCTGGCACATCCACCTGGCTGGCCCACAGACATTGCCCGAGTCCTGGCTCAGGTGTGAGGTGACAGTGGGACTCCCCCGTTCTCTCTTATCTTCCTCTTGAGAGGTGGGCAGACAGGGAAGCCAGCCGGAACAGGGGGGTGGCGTAAGGCGATCCACAGGCTCCAGGTGCCCTGGGCAGGCTTGCCCCTGAAAGAGTGTCATTTGAGCCGAGTTATAAATGTCGGATGGAAGCAGGCTAAAAGAGGACATGGTGGGGAGTGTTTCGCCTAGAGGATTTTGTGCTTAGAGGCACCAAGGCTGAGGGGCCCCGCTTCTAGGGTGCACGGCCACTCTGAAGGCGGTGGCAGGGCGAGTGGGACAGGGCTGACCGCGAGACAGCAGCCAGGTCTTCTGAGGGTTCTGTGGGATGCTGCCAGGGCCCCGGGTGGGGTTACTCTCAGCCCCAACCCCTGCTGTCCTCTGTGTCATGGTATGGGGCAGGGCCCTGATTGAGAAAGTTCAAGTTTTGTCCCAGTTTTCCCTTAAAGATGCAGAACTTGGAGCTGGCCATCCCACTGCCCAACGTCTAGTGTCACTCTGTGGTTATAGGGATGGCGCTCCGGTCTGTTCTGCCTCCTGTGAGAAGTTTGTTGTTTCGAAGGAGTGATATTATGGGTGCTAGACTGCTTTGTACGTGTGCGCTTCTCAACAGCAACCAACAGCTGTGGGCACAGTGCGGGGTGCCAATGCATAGTACTATATGGAGATGTGTGGTTCAGTACTGTGCAGAGTACTGAATGCACAGTGCCTGTGGAGTGCCGGACGCACAGTGCCTTGTGAGGTGCTGGATGCACAGTGCCTTGTGAGATGCCGGACGCACAGTGCCTTGTGAGGTGCTGGATGCACAGTGCCTGTGGAGTGCCGGACGCACAGTGCCTTGTGAGGTGCTGGACGCACAGTGCCTTGTGAGGTGCTGGACGCACAGTGCCTGTGGAGTGCCGGATGCACAGTGCTGTACAGAGTACACTCCCACTGTTCTACCCGAAAGGCGTGGCACAGAGTGGTGAGTACAGTGAGTACAGTGGCCGAAGGCTGGCTCCCAGGGTGCTGACCAAAGTTCCTGGATCCTTTTGCCAGGAAAGTGTCCAAGAGAGGGGCGGGGTCAGCACGTGGCGCCTGTTGGCTGACTTGGAGGAGCGTGGCTTGTGTGAGCCACGCAGGAAGCGTTTGGTTTGTTGCCCTGTTGTTCCAAGCTGAATGCGAACACTGGAAGACTGGCCTGAAGCCTTGAGGCCCTGGTGCTGCGCTTTAACTACTCAGGGTCATAGTTTGTGATTTCTTGGGTTTCACTCAGATGAATCCAACTTTAATGTTCATTTACCTGAAAGGCATAGTGACAGAGGCAAGCAGAGACTGGCCGTGTGAGCAGGGGGCTGGGTCAGAAGTGGGGCAGGACTGAAGTCTATACTCCCGTGGGGCGTCTCTCACAGCTCCAGCCCAGATCCAACTTCTAAGCTAACTTTGAATAAGAAGGCAATAATTAAGATGTGCATTCATCTTTTTTTAAAAAATTATTATTTACTTTTATTGGAAAGGAAAAGCTACAGAGGTGAGACAGAAGGAGATCTTCTATCTGCTGGTTCACTCCTCAAGTTACTGCAATGGTCAGAGCTATGCTGATCAGGAGCCAGGAGCCTCCTCTGGGTCTCCCATGTGGGTGCAGGGGCCCAAACACCTGGGCCACCCTGCGCTGTTTTCTCAGGCTGTCAGCAGGGAGTTGGATCAGAAGTGGAGCAGCCAGCACTGCTGCTGGTGCTACTGTGCCATGGCACCAGCCCACAGTTGACTTAAAGTGAGGTGCAGAATTATCTGCTGGACATTGGGAATCTGGGTGCTTCAATTTACTGATATCCGGAAAGCAGAAGGGAGTGCGAGGTGCTGTGACCTGGCTGGCTTTGCTGGAAAGTGACGGCCTCGTTGTTGACCCACAGTAAGAGCAGAGACGCTGGGGACTCCCTGGAGAAAGTGCTGGGCCTGTGCTTGTTTTCATGACAGTCTGCGTGGCCTGCACCAGTGGATGCCCTTACAGGGGTTCCAGAAACCCATGGCACGCGTGTGTCCTGTGCTGTACATCTGTCCTCAGGCCTCCTGTGTCCCTCGTCGCCCTCCAGGCACTGGCCGTCTCTCATGTTCTGTCACTCGGGTCCCATCTGCTGCAAACACAGGTTCTTTGGTTCTTGCCCAAGGCTCTTAACCTTTGTCCACATGCTGGCATGCCCTCCGGCAGTCACGCAGTCATCTCAGAGTGCTCTGTCCACCATCTGCCTGGTGTGAGGTTGCAACTATTGTGGACCCCGTGCCTTGACTTGGCCTGAGGCCGAACCATTGGCCTCCCGTGGGGTGGGGAATGTTGGGCCTCCTGGGGGGGCATTGAGAACTACTTTCAGAGAAAGGGAGAATTTGGTTACTGCTGGGGAGGGCCACTCCTGCAGTAGGAAAACAGGCCTAGCATCCCTCCTTCAGTCTCTCAAGTTGATGTTTAATTTCAGATTGCTTGGGAAGGTTAAAAAAAATTGAATGCCTGCACATACCCTCCCTCCGATGCAGTAATTATCTTTCAGATGCTAAGTACACCATTAATTCCTTAGCTTCTGTGTAGCCTGATTCCCTTAACATTTCCTGATCACAGAGAGCAGGCTGTTTTACAGCACAGCCAAATGTCAGCCGTGCGCTGCAGGGCCTTTATGGTGCCGCTTCAAACCCGTCCTGAATAGATGACGCTCCTTGTTGAATTATTAACCAGCCTGCTCATCCAGGCAGGCTTCCGTCTTGGTCGCTGGTGTTGTGCACTTCTTTAATGGCATTCCTGGAAGAGAGGGGAACGGGAAGAAAACTTCCTCTCCCCTACATCAGGCCCTGCCTTTCCTTCCATGGGCTGCTTGGGCCCCAGTGGCTTGCAATCCCCCTCATGGCTACCTGGGGTCGTTTTTGTGGACACATGGCCTTATTAAAATAATGAGTCTGAATTGGTGCTTATTAAAGAGCTGAACTCTGAAACATTATCCCTGCCTTTTATTTATTAGAATTATCCAACATCTTTCCATCATACACTGGAGGCAAAATACTGGGCCTTCTGACCTTGCCGTATTAGCAGTAAGTAGTTGGAAATGAGGGGGGGTCAGGGAAGTAGATTATACTGGTTACCATCCAAATGCTACCCCTGGCTTGATTTCTTGAACCTGAAGCTTGAATCTTTACATTAAGAATCACCTCTCCAGATTGTTCTGTACGGTCCCCATTTATGGAGAAATTGGCCCTGCTGCGGATGACCGTGAGCCTGGCTTCCGGTAGGATGACAAGAGAGGTGAACAGAGAGCCTGGCTCCATTAGTCGTGACAAGGTTGCCGTTGAATGCCTTTAATAAAACAAAATACAGTAAAAGCCTTCTGCACCTGAGTTGCGTTATGGTTTCCAGGCTGGCTTGCTCATTTCCTATCACTTCCTGTCCCTTCCTGGAAGCGTCCATGTGGCAGAGCCAGAACTGCCTTGGCCCCTGCAGGGGCGGGGGCTCGCCAGTGGATCTGCTGCTGGCTTTCTGAGAACAAGCTGTTAGCAGGGCTCTGTTCTCAAGGCAGACACAATTACCACACTGGATAGTCATTTGTGAAGTTAGCGAAAATATCTCTAGAAATTTGTTTTGTTTTGATATATGTGTTTGTAGGCTGTATTTATTTGAAAGGCAGTTACAGAAAAAGAGAAAGGTAGAGACAGAGAGAGGCATTCTGGCTGCGGCCGCCAGGGCTGGTGTCGGCCGTAGCCTGGAGAACCCCATCTGGGCTTCTAGGGGCGTGTTAGCTGGCTGCTGGACTGAAGTGGGGCTCCAGGGACCCTGGCCAGAGTTGTTATGTGATGCTGGGGGCCCCAGGTGCCAGTTAACCCACACGGCCACAACACCCGTATCAGAAAAGATTTGCTTTTTCTAATATTAGTATTTGCTTTTTTAAAGATTTATTTTTTATTGGAAAGCCAGGTTTTCAGGGAGAAAGAGAGACAGAAGGCTCTTCTGTATGCTGGTTTACTCCCTAAGTGGCCGCAGTGGGCAGAACTGAGCTGATCTGAAGCCAGGAGCTTCCTCTGGGTCTCCCACATGGGTGCAGGGTCCCAAGGCTTTGGGCTGTCCTTGACTGCTTTTCCAGGCTACAGGCAGGGAGCTTGGGAAGCAGATCCACCAGGACGTGGAACTAGCACCCATATGGGATCCCAGTGCATTCAAGGCAAGGACTTCAGCTGCTAGGCCACCGTGCTCAGTCCCAGAGAGGGTTTCATTTAAAGTGAGACAGTGTGGGAAGTTCCCTGAGTAGCTGCTCCAAGGAGAGAGCATGGGAGATGGCAAGAGGAGGGCCCACAGGTAGGCTGGATGGGACTGGACCTAGGCTTCCTGCGGGCCAGCCCTGGCCTGGCTGGGCCAGTGGGCAGGACGTCCTGGCTACTAGGGGCATTGGGGGCAGGAGGGAAAGGGCAGCTGGTGCTCAGGACATGTCCCCCCACACTCTCTGTCAGCTGGGTTGGTGCTGCTTGGACCTTTGCTCTTAAAGGGGTAATGGCTTTGAGATGTGAAAGGGACCGTGAAAGATGACCAGGGTGCCTGGACCCTACCACCCACCTGGGAGACCCCGAGGAGTCTCCTGGCTCTGGCCAGGCCCAGTATTGGCCATTGCAGCCATCTGCGAATGAGCCAGTGGATGGGAGATCTCTCTCTTTCAAAATAAATAAATCTTTCTTTTAAAAAAGAAGGTGATGTGCTGATACTATCCGTGAGCCTTCCTCTGTCGGCTTACTCCCTACCCTGCGCCTGCTGAGTGATGTGCTTCGGGGCTGATTGGGCGCTATTTTATATTTAGCTTTTTAGTTGCATCATTCAGCATTTATAGCTGAGTAGGAAGAGCAAAGGCATGGAATGGGACCTGCCTGGGAGGTTGTTACTGTGTCCGCTGACTGGGGATGTGGGCCCCCGGAGCTGAGAGGTGCTCTCAGGCCAGCTTTGCTTTCCTCTTTATAGTAGGAGGAGCTTGAATGGAACACCTCTGTGTGTTCCTTCTGGGTCTTAGCTTGGGAACCTGACCTGTGAAGTCTAATTTGGCCTAAGCCAGCAAGGTCTGTGAGGGTGGAGGCTGGAGCTTGTGTCCCCACAGCACTCCCAGCCATCTGTGCGGCGGAGCAGGTGGGGGCCCGGGGCTCCCCAGCACTGGAGTCACAGGCCCTGCCATTCCTGCTGAGATGCTCCCAATTTGTCCCAGCTGCTCTTGAGTGTTCCTGGAGCTGTTTGGAGCCAGATTTTCTTGTGTTGCCTCAGTCTGCGCTGTTGTGTGCTGTGTGCGTGCTGGGTCTCATCCTCAGTGTGGTTTCTCTAGGGCTGGGACACAGGCTCCAAGCTCCCGGATGGACTGATGGACCAAGTCCTTCCTTGTCCTTGTTTTCCGCTAGTGCTGGAATCCTGGGTGTGGGCACCTCTCTCAGTGTTCATTGGGTCCTTCAGAATAGGGGCATTCACAGGAGTAAAAGTCTTTCTGCTGGTGTGGCACACAGCCTCGTCTCTGGCTTCTCTGGGAGCCTGTGCAGATGGGTTGAGGGGAGCCATGGCTCGCTCTGGAGGGAGCCTCTCACCCAGGACTTTTTCCACGGAGCCTTGTCTGTCCCTGCAGTCCTGCTTGGAGGAGCAGTCAGTGGTCAGTCTTAGTGTCACTATTTTTGAGTGAGAGCTTTTGTTGTCTTTCCCTTTGAACCAAGATGGTTCCTTTTTCCTTCTCTGTATCTCTGGCACCTCTCAGGTGCTCAGTAATCAGTTTTACTAGACATGCCTGTGTGGTCTGGTCTACCTTCCTTTGTACTTCTGAGAGAGTCGACCCTCTGCCGCTCCTGAGAGCACGTGCCCTCCAGGAGCAGGCTGGGTCCCCAAGTTGTACCCTCTTCTCTCCCCCAATCTTGCTGTCCAGGCTGATCCTGCCTCCTCGTCCTATCTTGGGCTGTGGCTCTGCACTTGTTGCTGGGAGCATGCTCTTGCCATTCTGCCTGTCACACACACTCCATCTTGGCCTCCCTGGTGCCTCCCTTGGGTTTTCTTCTGCCTTTGTGAGTGCTACTGTCCATGCATACACACAGAGCTCCCAGCAGGGCTCAGGGTTAGGGTTCTCCTTCACCCCTTCTCTCCACTGTTTCAGATTCCCTCCCTGCCTGCCTTCCCTTACCCCCTAGGGAGCTCTTTTGCCAGTCCTCTTGCCTCTGACCTCTCGTAGAGATGATTGCAGGCTTGTTCCAGGCCCAGCTCTCAGCGCTGGTGAAGCCTGTGGTAATCGAAGCACGCTGTCTGCTTACAGCCAGAGACTGTCCGAAAAATTTGTTTTTATTTGAAAGGCAGAGTTACAACAGAGAGGGGAAGGAGAGAGAGAGAGAGAGAGATCTTCCATCAGTTGATTCACTCCCTAAAAGACCACCAGGGCTGGGTCAGTCCAAAGCTAGGAGGCCAGAACTCCCCCTCGATCTTGCCCCTGGGTATGGGACCTGA